ATACATGGGTGCCGAGTCTCACGGATGAAATTTCCGTGAAATGGCCATGAGAAAATAATTACACATGGGTGCCGAATCTTGTGGACGCAATGTCCATGAAATGGTTGTTTGAAGTATTGTTGGCTCGAGATATAATCTCGCTTAAGTTGTTTGGCCAGGTTCTGAGCCGTGTTTATAAGTTGAGTTTTGTTAAGTGAAGGATTATGGAACTGGGTTGTACTGTATGTTGGTTTATATGAGTTAAACATTTATCAAGTGCTAATGTTTTAGTTATTGCTCATATTATGTCCTTTTTGTAACCAAGTGTTGACTTGGAAAGTTGTACGCCTATAGGGCATTTACTTTTATTGTCAACATGTAATAACTTTTGTAAGAATACTCTGATGATTGTAATATGAAATCTCTTCTATTTGTCATGAATGTATGTTATGATGGGTTTATTTTTTAGGGCGTTACATTCTCCCACAAGTCTCTTGTGCCAAGGCCGTCGTGTGTGCCAAGTTTCATGTTATTCCGACGTCGTTCGGTGATTTTGGGGCGTCAACATCTCGGATTCTAATTTTCTTAAGGAATTAGTTTGCCTAGACCGAAATTTGGCTCTAACTCTCAAACTGGGAACCCAATTCAAGTCTCGTCTTCTCCCATAAGTCTCTTGTGCCTAGGCGGTCGTGTGTGCCAAGTTCCATGCTAATCTGACGTCATTTGGTGATATGGCAACCTCAACACCTCGAATTCTAAATTTCTTAAGGAACTAGTTTGCCTAGACCCAAATCCTACTCTAACTCCCAAATCGAGAACCTAATTCAAGTCCCATCTTCTCCTATAAGTCTCTCATGCCTAGGCGGTCCTGTGTGCCACGTTTCGTGCTAATCCGATGCCGTTTGGTGATTTTGGGGCGTTAACATCTCGAATTTTAAATTTCCTAAAGAACTAGTTGGCCTAGACCGAAATTTGACTCTAACTCTCAAACTGGGAACCCGATTCGAGTCCTGTCTTCTCCCACAAGTCTCTCGTGCCTAGGTGGTTGTGTGTGACAAGTTTCGTGCTAATCCGACGCCGTTTGGTGGTTTTGGGGCGTCAACACCTTAAATTCTAAGTTTCTTAGGCCCTGTTTGTTTTCAAAGGTAGAATAAAAGGGATTATTAGTGAGGGGACTACTAGTGAGGAGACTAAGAAAATTGTGTTTGTTTGATAACCAATGGACTAGTAATAGTTCATGTTTGTTTAGAGATAGGGATAAGATAAACCATGTGAAATTCCACAAATACCCTTTTTGCATTATTATCAAATTTAGACTTATACCAACTAAAGAATAAATAAATTTTTACTCAATGTTATTGTAACGCCCTCAAAATAATGCGTATAAATCCAACATTCAAGATATACATAACCAAGAGAATAAAACATATTTCCATTCATCAGAGTATTCTTACAAAAAGCAATACATGTTGACAATAAAAGTAAATGCCCTGTAGGCTTACAACTTTCCAAGTCAACACTTGGTTACAACAAAAGAAGAGTTCTAACTCTCTACACAAATAAGCCCTTGGCCTTAATTTACATGTATCACCAAAATAATAAAACAACCGAAAGAGTCTTCAACTCCCAAAACCATCCAAGCTAAGGCCTTGGTGGCGGCATAGCACCTGAACCTGAAAATGATGTCCCATATAGGGTGAGCCTAACGCCCAGTAGAGATATGCTAAATATAATATGAGCAATAACTAAAACATTGGCATTTGATAAATGTTTAACTTATATAAACAAACAAACATCTTTTTCTATTTCATTAACCAAACCAATTCATAGATATGGTTCCCTATTCAGCCAAACAGTTCATAATGAGCCTACAACTCATATCAACAATGCTTCGTTAAGATCAATTAACATGAGACCACAACTCATATAATTAACACTTCAACACTTCAAGTTCGAATGAGACTGCAACTTATATTATCAACACTTCAATACTTTAATTTATCTACGTTATACAAACGCAATTAGGATTTCGGGACTTTCACCCTGGACACTCCGGCCAATTTAGTTATCACTGGAGTCCATCCCCTATCTCCTCCGAAATCCGGTTTAGGAGTACATCCCCTATCTCCTCCTAAACCGTGGAGTATATCCCCTATCTCCTCCCAAACAATATACATATGTAATGTATTTCAACACTTATCATATACAATGATCAAGCCAAGCACATATTCAATGTGTTATTCCATCCGTCATATTCAATGACATATTCAATTGATTAGTTTTAAATCACCTAATCATCATGCAGTGTCTACAACAATCAAGACTGTCCTTCACCGATAGCCCAAAACAATTATTTCTAAACAGATAATAAATTATCAAACAGATAAATTATCTACAATATCAAAGGTGAGTGATTAATCAATCCAACTCCACCATTAAATCTCACAATTATCCAATTTCACTATTTCCAACTCAATTTCATATCTCCATAGCTTTCCCAAATTAATTCATCACAATAAATTAGGGCTTTTCTCCTATTTTTCTCAGCATTGACCCAAAAGTCCAAATATTATCAATAAACATCAATAACCTTATTTTAAGACCCAAAATGCCTATGTATTGGTCAAAAGGACAAAACCCCTCTTAATTCTTCTTCTTTTTTTCTTTTTTAATTATTAAAGAATCCAATTATCAAAAAAAATTTAGTCAATGTTATTTATTTATTTATTAATATTAATGAATCCAACTATCAATAAATTTGTAGTCAATGTTATTCTCTCTTCTTTTTTTTTTTAATTTTTTTATTCTTTTTTGTAAATATTAAATAATCCAACTATCAATAAACTTGTACTCAAACAACACCTTCCATACTGTGCTGAGTATGAAAGACAAAATCCTGTCTCCCTCCTGTTTCCCTGCAGCATAAGTTTAAATCTTACCACCACGCACACAAAAAAGCACACACATGCCTACCTATTTCAAAAAAAATATCAATATAATTTATTTAGAGAAAACTTAAATGGGCAAGACACGTAGTTAAAATGTCCACTAAACTGTATGCTTGAGTATAATTCCTAAAAAGGTTCTTTAACAACTCCTAGCCTAAAGTGGTAGGCACATGCAAACTCAATAAACATTTCTCCAAGAAGTTCAAAGTCCAATGCATATAATAGAAATTGTGGACATCGAATTGTTCCATGACAAGGACAAACCTCAAAGATTCAACAGATAATTGTGTATGATAACAACTTTGAAAGAGCGTCACCACCAGCAATGACATGAGATATATCAACATGAAGTGTAATATTCCCATACATAAAATGACAGGTCAATGACAATACAATTTTAGTTGTCCATTGTTAGATTGGGTCCTTTATCTGAAAGCTTCAACTCAAAGCTAAAGCCTTGAAAGATTTCTTGCCGAAATTGACCAAACAACCATTATATAAACAACCATTATTAGATTCCAGTTAATACAACATATGTGACAAACAACCATTACATAAACATTCCCTGCTAAAATTGACCAAACGGTTGGGACCACCCCCAGCCCCACATGGGCCCGAATTCAAATTGATGACCTTTCTTTCTCTAATGGAGTCTCTGGAAGCAATTGAAAGCTCAAAATATCCAATGAGTCCAAACTTGCAGAATCCAAACTTCACTGTCCCAAGTTTAGCAGAGGATTTAGATGCTACACATGCTATTAATAAGCTAAGAAAGGTCAGACAACGCGCATCATTACGTTTTCTATTTTTAACAAATAGAAAATGTTATCTCTCATTTTGTGCACTATGTCTCGTTGCTGAAATTGCTTGAAGACCAGACTCTAACATTAAACAGGTTGACACTATACCAGGGTTTACATTTCCTGCTTATAATAATAAATAAAGGGGTTACAAGTTTGTGTATCTATTACTTTGGGTGATGAAAAAGAAATTCCATCAATGAGTTAAGATAATACCCAAATAAATTTGATACGTACCAAGTAACTGTAGTTCAAGAATATGTACCAATCACTAGGCTGAAGTTCTGAAAATAAGTTATAGTATCTAACAAAAGAGTTCCAAACCTTTTCTCGATGGAAAAGAAGTTCCAACACCCTAGCACCAACAGCATAGCCTGCATCCTCCAACTTGCCCCAATCCAACAACATTAGAGAACACCCACACTGGAATGTATGATCTAATACAGATCAATTACGCAGTAACTTAATTAAAATATAACCATCAGCTACTAAACAAGTTTGTTCTAGAATAAACCAATGTATGGACCTACTTAAAATTATTAACATTAAACAGACGCAAGTGGTCTCCACAATTCAACTAAATTATATAAGAACATGGGACACCCACAGTGGTCAGAATCACAAGTAGCAAAAGTAGCATATTATGGCTCTTTCAAAAGTAGCAGAGAGCATCATACACATGTTACAAGAATTAGTCCTAACTAGTCCAACATAGGAGCAACATATAAACAGATTGCAAGCTACAAAAACCAGTCTTAAACAGCTCAACACATGAGCAAACAAAAAGAAACCCATCATACAAAAAGACCATCATACAGTAGATGCCACATTCAAATATGACCTTCCAATAGCAAAGAAACCCACTCCATCTTGTCATTCTCATCTAAACTAAAGAACAAGTTAACTTCGTCTTCATCTTTCACTATCATAGATGTTGCCATCAATCTTTGGGTATTACTCATTGGCAACTTCAGAAGTTCTTCATTAACCAACCTCCTTTGTTAGGATAGGTCCTATGAATATCCTATCCTATGAGCAATCTCCACCATCGTAGTATTAGTATTCTCAATGAATGATCCAAGATTTTTTTCCTTCTCTGATAGTTCACTGGGAATCCCCTCAGCAGGTCGAGCCTGTTTTTTCCCAGTCTTAGTAGAGTTAGCACGGTTGGGAACATTACCTACAGTAGACATTGAGTAGTCTGTATCACTTATGTTCATACTAAACTGTTCAACAGGAGACTGTTCTCCTTCTTCTGTAGTTGCATTTGCATCCTCATTTTCCATGGCTGTAGCTGCATCAGCAGGATCCTCAGCCAGTTCACCAGTCGCTCTATCCTTTCCAAATAGAATAAGCCAATCTTCATAGAACAGGAATTGCCTGTTTCGCATCCCTTTTGCATCTGATACCCTCTACACAAGTGATTATCCAATTATTAAAAAGAATAGATTGATTTATAAGTAAAGAGTCATGCAAATAACAACATAAAAATGAGATTTACCCTGACATAGTTCTATTATACGTCGTCACTATTAACAAGCACCATCTTTTGTTCATTATCCCAATCAAAACCACTTATCTTTAACATATCTTGAAGAGTGTTATATTGTTTCCTCCATAACTTAATTTTCTAGTTGATGTGAGGAGTGGCTTGAAGATCAGTTCCAAAAAATGCACTTAAGATCTTCTTCTCACATTCATTGTAGAAGCTGCCCTAAACTGATTATTATCAAGCTTCCACCTGTGATTACTTGCGGTTACATCCTTCATGGTTATAATGAGAAAGAGTTCCTCACGGTGATTCCAAAACCTTCGAGGTTTCCCCTTCTTACGAGAACTAGTGGTACTTGTGTCATCCATACCTATATATATGTATATCATAAGTTTAAATCATAACACACATGTTAATCATAAATAACAAATAAACTTACACAATATTTGTTACAAATACCACACAAAAACTAAACAAATATGGTTCGAATTACATGCTATAATAAACTCTTACTATTACATAAAAATCATCATATAACACTAATTTATTGACCTCTGCTTGCTTGCCATTCATTAAACATTTGGATTGCCCAGGCAGTTCTCCATTCACTCCATTGATCAGATGCTTCAACAACATCAATCATTTCATCTCCTAATTTAGTAGCTGGAGGAAGAGGATTCATTTCCTCATTCTTATCATCATCAAGATCCGTAGGCATTTCACGTTGTATGAGATTGTAGAGAAGGCAACATGCAGTGATAATACGAAGTTGAGTCTTGATTGGAAAGTAAGAATAAGTCCTCAATATTGCCCACCTCATTTTAAGTAGCCCAAAACACCTCTCAATGACGTTATGAGCAGAAAAGTGCCTCATGTTAAAAAACTCTTGTGGAGTTGTTGGAGCACCCCCTTCTCTCCAAATGGAAAGATGGTAACGCTGTCCTTTATATTGTAGCACCTGTATCCTGCAAAGCTTATGGAAAAGTGTATTCGAATCCTTTATTTTTATTTTGGAAATCTTTGGTGTTGTTATGGGTTAGTTTTGGAGGAGTATAATCCGATTTAAACTTGTTGGGTTTGGTTGTTCGCACTTGTTCTTGTCAAGTTCCTTGGAGACTTAGAAATTCTATTCTAGGGTCGACACCAACCTTCCTAAAGGTCAACCCTTACCTATTGGTAAAGTTCCTGGAAGTGTTAATGGAAAATAAGGTAGACACCAGTCTGAGGAGGGTCGACCCTCTTATGTCTGTGTGTTAGTTGCTGAAAAATAGGGTCAACCCCCTGCTGTCTAAGGGTCGACCCCCTTGCATGATGTCAAACATAAGTTTCTTCATAGGGTCGACCCCTGTGTTGCAAGGGTCGACCCTTGCAGACTTTTTTTTCCAGATTTCAGCCCAGTTTTTTGCCCTACTTTTTGGAGATTTTGACTTGATATTTTGGGTCGACTTTGGAACTTTATTTCATTTTGACCTAGTACTATAAATAGGCCCCTCACTTAACCTTTTCTTTATTTTTCCTTCTCTTTTTCTTTCTTCAAGCCGTGAGACTCTTTCATCCTCTCCAAAATCACTTTTTGGTCAAAGATCTTTAGATCTACTATCTTGGAAGCATCTCCTCGACTTGCTCCTTTGAGATTAAGTGTAGAGCTTGCCAAGAGCTTCATTTTGATCCAAGTAGAAGTTGGTTTCGACATCTTTGGAGTTTCAACCTTGTTTGGCTCACCTTCTCTTCTAAGCTTGAGGTAGGGATATTCTACTATTTAATATGGGTTTTAACCTAGATATTTGTCATTTTGTATAAATTGTGAGATTTGGGAAGATTTGGGTGAAGTTAGGGTTTGGGTTTAAATTTTGAAATAGGGGTTTCCAATATTTGGCTTCATATATGTAGATGAGGGCTTGATTATGGTATTATAAGAAAATAAATGGTGATATGGGGTCTTGGGGATGATATTGGGAAAAGGGGAAGGTTTTTCCGTAATTTGTGTTAAATGACTATTTTAAATAAATAATGAAATTGACATGGGAAATATGAAATTGGAAGGGTGTATGATTGAATGGTGTAGTTGGATTTGTTAAATCACTCTCCTATGGAAACTTGATAAATTATCTGTTTGATAGATTGTATATCTATTTAGAAACATCTGTTTTGGGTTATCGGTAAAGGATAGCTATGATTGTTGTAGAAATTGCATGTGGATTAGGTGAATTAAAACTAATCAATTGAATTATGTCATTGAATATGACGGTTTGATTAAACCATTGAATATGTGATTTGATTAGTCATTGTATATGACAACGTGTTTAAATACATTATATATGTATCATTGTTTGGGACAAGATAGGGGATGTACTCCATTGTTTGAGAGGAGATAGGGGATGGACTCCATTGAAAATTAAGTTGGCTGGAGTGTCCAGGGTGAAAGTCCCGAAATCTTATATACATATGGATGCTGGTTCCCTAGGATGTGATTTCGTAAAGTGGCAAGGAGTAGAAGTGTTGTATTGATGAATGTATTGAATTGTGAACCATTGAGTTGTAGTCTCATTTTGGTTGTTTTGATAATAATGAATTAGGTTAATAGATTTACTTGAAACGAATTGAGGTATTGGTTATCTATATTGAATGGTCTTGGAAGGAACATATGTTGGTTAAGAATATTGTACATTTATCTGATGCTTATATCTTAGTTAAATCTCATATATTGTTTTAGCATATCTCTACTGGGCTTTGGCTCACCCTACTTGGGAAACCATTTTCAGGTACAAGTGACATGCCGCCCCTAAGGACATAGCTTGGGAGGTTTAGGAGCTGAAGGCTTTATTTTGTTGTGTTGTTTGTGTTAAATGCTTATTCAAGCCGAGGGCTTTGTTTGTATAGAGACTTGGACTCTTCTTTTGTTGTAACCAAGCGAAGTCTTGAGAAGATGCAAGCCCGTAGGGCATTTATTTTGTTGCTATCAATTAGAGTTACATGCTATAGTTTCAAGATGAACATTTATGAAAGTGTAATGCATGTAATATCTTTTGTAATGTAGACTCTGATGAATGAAAATGTAAAATTTCTACCATATTTGTAGATCTTATGAATGGTTGATTTATATCATATTTTTGAGGGCGTTACAACTTGGTATCAGAGCGTACCGGGCTTGAATACTTTGAGTACGTGGGAAGTGGTTAGTACCATAATGGGTTTGTCTCGCTTGTTAGAGACTTAACTATGGATGTTATACGCTTATATGATAACATGCATATGTGGTTATAATGGGTATGAGATTTGATTTCTAGGATGTTGATGGAGTCCATGTGTTTCTGGGAGTCTTGTTGGAATGGTAATTGATCACTGCCTTTTCTAACTGGAACTCTAGAAATGCCACGGGACAGTCATTATCTGGAAATGAAGTTCATATGTGTTTATGTGATTATATGCTTAGATGGAGTGAATTACAGTTGTCCATTGTATTAGGACGCGAGTGAGATAGCTTCGGCACATTTGTAAGTGTGCTAATCTCTTTGTTACCTTTATTAGGATATCAGGATGAGGTCGTGGCGGTAGACGTGGTAGGCCTAGGAGGCACGAGATGCCTATACCGAATGAAATTCCAGCGTAGGAGGAGGGAGTTGGTTAGGCCAACGTGGCCGAGCCAATAGGTCAACAGGCCATGGGCACCTTAGCCCGTGAAATGGCAGGAGCATTGAGGGAATCTATGGACATTCTCAGAGCTGAGAACCAAGTCCAGGCCCATGTAGCTGAAGCCAGGCCGTCTTTTCTGAAGAGGGAGTTTTTCTAATCGAATCCGGATGAGTTTTTGGGTGATCCCAAGGAGCCACTGAAGGCTGATGAGTGGCTTGAGCAGATGGCGAAGACGTTTGAGATGCTCAGTATCGAAGACGGAGGTTTGAGGGTGACCTTGGTATCCTTCCAGTTGAAGGGAAACGCAGGTCAATGGTGAAAATATGCGCGGGGGTGCATTAGAGGGACTTGGGAGCCCTTTGTTGAAGCTTTCTAGGACAAGTACTTACCTGCTATAGTGAGGGAGAAGTTGAGGGATCAATTCTCTAAGTTGGTGTAGTTGAATACACTAGTGGCTGAGTTTGAGGCCACCTTTACCAGCTTGTCTAGGTTTGCACCGAAGTAAGTGGCAATTGAGGAACGCTATTGTCTGGAGTTCGAAAAGAGATTGAGGAACGGGCTCTTGTTTAGAGTTAATGGGTCCATGATTAGGGATTATGGGCGCCGTGTAGAGGCTGCAGCCCACCATGAAACTATCATGCATGCAGAAGAGGAGAGGATGAGGGGCTCCAGGAGAAGTCAGGAGGGTTAGGGGGACAGTAAGAGGCAGAGGGGTTCTAACCCTCAGTAGTCCCACGGAGCGCATTTGAGATCTACATTTCCCGTGCTGAGTTCGGGTTCTGGAAGAGGCAATCAATGAGACATCACCTGTTACAAATGTGGTCAATTGGGCCACAAGTCTCCAGCTTGCCCACAGAGGGGTAGAGGGTAACGAGCAACTTCATCTTTAGCTCGTTCTCAGGGCCAGAGTCAGGACAGGGGCCAACCACTCACTTGTTATCAGTGTGGGCAGGCGGGACACCTGAAGAGGTTTTGCCCACAGTTGGGTGGCACATTTGGTGCGTCTGGTTCGAGGTAGACACAGAGTCACCAGCCAGTGCAGTCGGTATAGGCCCTGAGGGCCAATCAGGGAGCCTTTTCGGCTCAGTCAGTGCAGTAGTCTTATGCTCCGAGAGATGAGCAGGTAGATTAGAGACCCACGGGGCACATGTATGCTGTTACAGCGCCAGATCTTGTACCGGCTCCATCTGTTGTGAGGGGTACCTTTTTGTTTTGTAACTCGGTTGCTAATGTGTTGATTGATACGGGTGCATCCCATTCATTTATTATCTGCATTTACATCTATTTTGGGGTTGGAGTTGGCACAGTTAGTATCTCCTATTTGTGTTGTGTCACCTGTTGGGAGCGAGATAGTTTTAAAACAGGGGTGTTGGGACTGTGACATAGAGGTCGCCGATTGCCGACTTTCTTTTTCTCTTGTATTGATGGACATGTCTGGTTTTGATGTCATTTTGGGTATGGACTGGTTATCATCATACCGGGCTGTTATAGATTGCTACCGTCAGAGAGTGACTGTATGTACCTTGAGCGATGACTGTTTTTATTTCTTGGGGGACCAGGTGGATAGAGTCTTATCACTGATATATGAACCGTGTGGGCGAAATGAGCTTAGTTGTCATCTTGCTAGCTTTGTGAGTAGTGAGTGTGATGAAGTTCGAGTTAAGTTGCCAAGAGTGGTTAGTGAGTACTCACATGTCTTTCCCGAGGATCTTATTAGTTTACCACCTCACTGAGAGA